AACGCCTCGTCCCCTATAAACAGGAAGAAGGTATACAGCACGAACCCCATGCCCTTTATTTAACAATAGGCGCGCGGTCCCCACTGCCGGGGGGGGGGGGGGGGTTGTGGGGCTGGAAATGAGGAGACTGAGAGCTTCCTCACTCGTCACCCACAGGCGGCTGAGAGCCGCCTTTCCGAGCCGTCACGCTCGGGGTTCAGCTGCACGGCCACGCGGTGGACACACCCGCCCGTGAGAGGGTGCTGGCTGTCTCCCGGGGTTTGTGGCCGGTCCTTGTGCTGTGGCATGTGGGGCACCCAGTACAGCCACAGGGCGGGCAGCCGGAGCAGCAGGACTGGGTGCCTGTCGGGCGGAGGGACAGCTCAGAGCTTTGGCGACCAGCTCGCTCGCACCTCATTGTCTCCCGATGCCCTTGGGGGGGGCGGGGCTGCGCAGCTCCCTCCGTCCCACGCGGAGAAGGTCACAGTTTCAGCCTTTGCCAGGGCTGCCTGTCCAAGGGCCCCCGGTTCTCCTAGGACGGGTGGGACGTGCGGCTGCGGGCTGTATACGGCCCTCCCAGGCCTGTGGTCTGGCCCTGCCAAGACGCGGGGTTAACTGCACGCTGACCTAAGTGTGTGACTCTGTGTGGCCGGGTGATGTCATACCCGCCCACAGGGCCTCGGCAGGAAGTGGTTCCCACCCGCCCACCCGCCCACCCTGCCCTAGAGCAGCGGCGGCTGCTGCGGACCCTCCACTGACGTGGCCGCGGCAACAGTCACCGCTGGGCTGTCACGGCTGTGCCTCAAGGTCACTCCCAGGTCGTCCGGGGAGCGGGCTCCTCGGGCCACAGACTCCGCTCCGAGATCCAAGCGGAAAGTTCCGGGCACAGAGCGGGAAGAGCATCCGCACCGGCGCCGGGAGACACACGTGGGCGGCAGGGCCCTGCTCACCACATGCCCCGGGAGCCACGCCGCCGAGCATGAGCACCAGGGCCTTCACTAAAACAAGGGGCTGCCAGACAAGGGACGGGTGGCTTTTCTACGAAACCGTGTTCCCAGCGCGTGAGAGCCAGTGCCCCCGCCACCACCGCGTCCGGGACCCAGACCAACGGTGGATGCGCAGCAGCGGCCCGTGTGGGCCCAAGGGGGCGGCCACCGTCCTCCCGTCTGCTTGGTGCCTCCAGCCTGGCCCCTGCCCTGGCCCCATTTCTGACGTGATTCTGGAGCCGCGAGCACCCACGTTTCTCTAAGCAGAGGCCACACTCAGACCAGACTTTACAGGGAGCTCTGGGCGGCCATGAGCCTGGTGACGCCGTCTGACCTCACATTCCACGGGCTGTGCTGAAATCGGGGGGGCAGCGGGGGGCGAGACAGCCCCTGTGCCCGGGAGGGGTTCCCGGAGGAGCCGGCGTGGAATGAGTCACGTCACAAACAGCCGTGCCGCCCGAGGGCCTCGTCTCCTCCGGGCGGCGCGTGTTCTGACCTCTGAGCCTGTCCAGGCCGTGACTCCCCGTGGAAGCACTCGGCCGCCCCTGTGGGTCCCAAACACGCCTTTGGGGCACGGCGGGGGGGGGGGTGCCCACGGACGGTGGCCTCGGGAGCGTCCGCTCCCCTGTGACGCTGACATGTGGTCCACCCCCCAGTCTCGCCCAGAGCCTCTGAAGCCCGCTCCCCTGTCGGAGGCGTGTGGCCAGGGGCCGTGCGGGGGCCAGGCCGGCGCCCCTGGGGGCCGTGCGGCGTCCCCTGGGGCCACAGCCCTGGGCGGGGCTGCTGCTTTCTACGGGGTCGGGGCCTGCGCCTGGGGTCCACTGTGGCCTCGGTGCGTCTGTGGGGACTCGGGTCCGGGAGAAGAGGTGAAGGTGGGCTCGCATGGGTGCCCCCAAAAATGGGGACCTGGTGGGCGCGGGCCCAGCGCAGCCAAGGACGTGTCTGTCACCGGCCTCTGTCGTGTCCGCGCGGGGCTGACACGCCGTCTCTCCTCCCCAGCGCCGACCAGGCCCTCGACAGGTTTGCCATGAAGAAGTATTACGACGACAAGGTCTCCGCGCTGATGCAGCCCTCCCAGAAGCGGTACGTGTCCCGGCTGGAGGGGACAGCCATGAGGGCCGACGGGTGCAACACGCAGACACACAGACGGCCCTGGGCGGCCAGGAGTGGGAGGGAGGGCTCGCTGGTGGGGGAGGGAGGGCTCCGTGGGGAGGCAGGGCCGCCCTCCTGCTGACCTGGTGGCTCTGACAGGCAGCCCCTGGGTGAAAGGGGAGGTGTGTGGAGCCCCCTGGTGGCCAGGCCTGGCGGCAGCAGCCAGCCCTCTGGTCCCAGGCCTCCCACCCCCGGGTGACCCTGGGGAGCCCCTGTTTATGCTGGAGGACAGAGGAGCTGTTCACCGCCAGGACGGTGGGAGCCCCAGGAGAGGGACTGGCAGAGCCCGTGTCCCCTCACACCTTCCGCAAAGCAGGGCTGGCAGCCGGGTCGCCTAACTCTGTGTTTAACCGGCTCAGCTTGCTTCATGCACAAACCCAGCCGCCTATTTTGAACTAAAGGAGCACAGTGCGTGAATTGCAGGCATAACTTAGAGATTTTTTAAAAAAATATAAGTGAGGCTGAGCCTGCTGGTGGTTCAGTCGGAGGACGGCCGTCCTGGGCGGGGGACACCCATGCCATGGTCGGATATTGGGGGTGTTCCTGGTGCTTGGAGTCTGGCCCCCCGGGAGGAGGGAGGGGCCGTGGTCGGGCAGCATTGGGCATGGCAGGCTGGGCCCCCACTCCGGTCCCTCCCACACCCCGAGCCCCAGGGCCCAGCGAGGAAACATCCCATTATTTTTATTTTATTATTATTTTTAAATATATTTTTATTGACTTTAGAGAGAGAGGAAGGGAGAGGGAAAGAGACAGGAACGTCAATGATGAGAGAGGATCATGGATCGGCTGCCTCCCTGTGTGCCCTGACCGGGAAGGGAACCATGACCTCCTGGTTCATAGGTCGATGCCCAACCACTGGGCCACACTGGCCGGGCAGACTCGTCGGTGTAGAACCGCCCCCTGACGGTCACAGGCACATGCGGGACGTGCAGGCACCACCGGATGCACGGGCTGCTTAGCTCCCCCCTGGGTCCCCCCAGGCCGGGCCACAAGGTGCCACCTGGGCGCTCACCGCCTGTGCCTCGCAGGTACGTCCAGTTCCTCAGCGGGCTGCTGTCGGGGACAGTGAAGATGAACGCCTCGCCCCTCTTCCTGCATTTCGTCATCCTGCACGGCACCCCCAACTTTGACACGGGCGGGGGTGAGTGCCCCCCCGCGGGCTGGAGATCCCCGTCCCTGCACTGCCCAGGCACCCCTCCGTCCTGAGGCCCAGGCCCCCGGTCAGGACTGGACAGAGCCCCCTGTGCGAGGTGGGCCACTCGCTTATCAGGAAGGACAGACAGCCCAGGCGACCCCGGGCCCCTCATGCTGCCGTGCGACTGCGGCGCTGAGTCCAAGCCTAAGGCAGCTAGTGGGCACCGGCTCCCTCCCCGCAGTCCTGCGTGGTTCCTCGCGCTCACGGAAGATCGACCTCTCTCTCTCTCCCTCTCTCCCCCCCTCCCTCTCTCCTCCCCTGCAGTGTGCCGGCCCTTCCTGAAGCTGTACCAGGCCATGCAGCCCGTCTATACCTCGGGGATCTAGTAAGTGCGCCAGCCTCGTGGGCTTGTGCCAGGAGTGGCATCGGGCAGTCGGGCCAGCTCTGCGACAGGAGGGGCGTGGGGCAGAGGATGCCCGTGGTCAGTGCTCCTCGGTGGCTGGTGCTGCGTCCCAGCCCAGCTTCACCACCGCCACACGCCACCCGGCTGGCTGTCAGGCTCACGGTGGGGCGTGGACGGAGGCGGGCCCCATGTGCTGTGGGGAAGGAAGCAGGTCCCGCCCTGTGACAGCCTTTACCGTTGGCCTTTCTCTGCCCTTTGCATTTAGACAGGATAGATGCACATACTCAGAACTTGTTTTTTCTTTTTAATATATTTTTATTGATTTCAGAGAGGGAGAGAGAGAGAGACACCAATGATGAGAGAATCAGGGATCGGCTGCCTCCTGCCCACCCCACACTGGGGATCGAGCGCACAACCGGACATGTGCCCTGACTAGGAATTGAACCGTGACCTCCTGGTTCGGAGGTTGATGCTCAGCCCCCGAGCCACGCCGGCCAGACCAAGCTCAGAATTTGCACCCATTCTGGGCTGTTTGGTGCTGGCCTAAACACCTTGTGAACATTCACGGAGAGTGAGTGGAGGCAAAAAGTGCCCTCACCCCCATGTCGCCACTGAAAACCAGCTGCTCTCGCTTCTGACTCGCTGGGCCCGGGCCGGGGGACAGCGCCCTCCGCTAATCCAGCTGCTCTCGCTTCTGACTCGCTGGGCCCGGGCCGGGGGACAGCGCCCTCCGCTAATTCCAAGGCCGAGGCATGGGCACCGTGTCCCCCGGCCGGCAGCTCCCGCTCCTGAGCCTTGTCCCCGGAGGATTCTGTGTAACTTCTGAGCTTTCAGTTGTCGGGTTGCTTTTCTCGAAACGCCTTCCTCCCGGGAAGCCCTGCGATGACGTGACCATCGCCTCCTTGTTTTTCCAAAGCAATGTTGGCCCCGAAAACCCGAGTCGCATCTACATCGCCATAGAGCCGGCCCAGCTCCTGAAAGGGGACGTCATGGTGAGTGCTGCCCCCTGCGCCCCTGGCCACCGCTCGGGGGGGAAAGTCACCCTAGAACAGGGACAGGGAACCTTGGCCCCAGAAACCTGTGCGAAGGGGGGAGCAGCCGTTACCTCAAGGCAGTTGATTAATCTGAGGGAAGCCGCTTTACCGAGAGGGACAGAGTATATCCCAGTCGCTCAGTATGTGTCAGCCACTGCACCCCCACAGCCACATTCATGGCCACTCAGTATGTGTCAGCCACTGCGCCCCCCCCCCCCACGGCCACGTTCACAGGCACTCGATGTGTGTCAGCCACTGCGCCCCCCCCCACGGCCACATTCACAGGCACTCGATGCGTGTCAGCCACGGCCCTCCCCACGGCCACGTTCCCGACCGTGAGGTGCAGCCTTTGTTGGTCAGAGGCCTTCAGGGGAGGATATAAGTCGTGGACCTGCCTTTGGCAGCCGAGTGTGAGATTCAGCGGGGTCATCGCGGGGTCATCTCGGGGTCATCGCGGGGCCGGCTAGGGCTCAGACGCTGATTCCTTGAGCAGGTTCTGATTCCTGGGCTGGTTCTCAGGTGGACCAGCTGGCCCATCGTGGCCTTTCATGCATCTTGACCATAGAAAACGTCCTACGTGTGAAGTGATTCTGGGAGGCGGGTGCAGAGATTAGCTTTTGTGGAGTCTGTGTGGCCCAGATCAGTGACATGGTCCAAGGGATAGCTTTTTGTTTTATTACAAATGATTCATTCACCGTTTAAGGATTCTCATGAATTTCCCCTAAAAATATGGGTTTTAAGACTGTTTCTTAGTGGCTGTGAACTCCATCGTGTCCCACCTGAATTCTCAGTGTTAAGCCAGTGGGGTCAGGAGGACACAGACCCCTGGGCACCCACACCCTGGGCACACCCACACCACAGGCACCCACACCACAGGCACCCACACCCTGGGTACACCCACACCCTGGGTACACCCACACCCTGGGCACACCCACACCCTGCACACACTTTCCAGGGGAGCAGCCCTCTGGCTGGGGCCCCAGGTCTGTCCAGCCTCCCTGGCCACTGAAAGGGAGGGGTCATGGGGGAGGGGCCTGTGAGGGAGGGGCCGTGGGAAAGAGTCCCCTGGGGTCCTGAGGGGATGAGAAGGGGTGAGGCAGCAGCAAGGCATCGAGCTGAGCGCTTGGCCATCCCAACGCCGCAGCGAAAGCTCTGGCGTCCGCTCCCCAGCGGGAGCACTGAGGGTCCCATCCTGAACCCACGTTCTCAGCCGACGAGGAGCCTGGATGGGAGGCGAGGTTTCTCGTGGCTGGGCTTACTTTTTTTTTTGTTTTTTAAGGATATTTTTATTGATTTCAGACAGGGTGGGAGAGAGAGAAACATCAGTGATGAGAGACAATCATGGACGGCTGCTTCCTGCGCACCCCGCTGTGTCCTCCTCGCCTCTCCTGTGAGGCCGTCACATGGGTCAGGCCCTGGTGACCTCCCCACCACCACCTCCTAGAGACACAGCTCTGAGCACAGCCTCAGCCGCGGGGCAGCGCTCCAGCGTCCGAATCCGGGGCGCAGGTCCGCCTGTCTCCCTGTGTTCACCCAGCAAACCCTCCTGGACGGTTCCCCGTGAGGCCGGGTCCCCGGGTCCCCCAGCACCGCCCGTGAATGGCCGGGCAGACCCACTCCCCGAGCTCAGATTCCAGGGCTGGGAGGTGCAGGGGTCCGCGGGTCAGGGGCCTGGTGTGACTGCCCAGGCGCAGGGACGAGCTTCAGGTTCCAAGGTGGGAGCGGGGCTCCGGGCAGCCGAGGACCAGGGGCCCCTGAGGTCCCACCCGTGCGGCTGTGCACGTCCCGGGGCCGGACCCTCCTGAAATGACCTGAGGGATCAGCGCAGGAAGAGAAGATGCCGGGAGGTTCCCGGGAGCGAGGTGGGCGTGTCCCGGGAGCGAGGTGGGCGTGTCTCGGGGGAGCCAGGTGGGCGTGTCTCGGAAGCCAGGTGGGCGTGTCCCGGGAGCCAGGTGGGCGTGTCTCAGGGGGTGCGAGGTGGGCGTGTCTCGGGGAGCTAGGCGGGCGTGTCTGGGGAGCTAGGTGGGCGTGTCTCGGGGAGCTAGGTGGGCGTGTCCCGGGAGCCAGGTGGGCGTGTCCCGGGAGCGAGGTGGGCGTGTCTCGGGGTTGGGGGAGCCAGGTGGGCGTGTCCCGGGAGCCAGGTGGGCGTGTCTCAGGGGGTGCGAGGTGGGCGTGTCTCGGGGAGCTAGGCGGGCGTGTCTGGGGAGCTAGGTGGGCGTGTCTCGGGGAGCTAGGTGGGCGTGTCCCGGGAGCCAGGTGGGCGTGTCCCCCGGGGGGGGGGGCCTTTGGTTGCTGAGTCTGAGAGGCAAGACAGGTACCAGTCCCCTCCGGTCACCCCTCCGCGACCCCGTGACCCGCGGGCACACGTGTGCTCCGTGCGCCTGGCTGGTCCGCGTTTGGCGGGGCCGGCACCTCTGCACGTGGCGAAAGTGGCCCGGGTGGAGCGAGCCGAGCCTTTCCGGGGCGGGTGCATGAGCAGCCTCCGTTCTCCATAGAGAGCTTGGCCGCTGAGGCCCTTGGGCGGCTCCTGGGCCGCAGGGAAGGCGGCCCGGCCCTGCCCACGCTGGCCGGGGAGGGGGCGGAAGGCGCGGGAGCGGAGCTGCTTGTCACTCCTCCTGCCCCGGGCCGGCATGGCTGACGCGCCCGGCACACCTGGCGCTGAAGGTCAGCTCCTCCCGCGGGAGGAGAGGGCAGGGCTCAGGGAGGGGAGGGCGGGGCTCAGGCGCAGTAAACACGCGGGCGTTATGTCACCCGGTGAGGAATGCGTGGGGCAGGCCCGTGGGAGCCTGGCCGGCGCCCAGAGCCCGCTCGCCGGTAAACACGTCGCGCCCTGCGTGTCTCGTCCTGCGCTGTGGCCGCTGCGGCTCGGGCCCCTGGCTGCAGGCTCCGGTCCCGATGCTCCCAGGGCCTCCGGGGGCAGAGACCGCTGTGCGCTGCTTCCTGCGAGCGGCGGGAAGGGCAGGGCTTGCCTCTCCCGGTACTGGCTCCAAGCGGCTGTTTCAGGGTCTCCCCTGTCCCCACCTCCCAGCTTCCTGCGTGTCCGTCCTTCCCCCGGATGGTCCGAGTCCCCTGGGCTGCAGGGCTGGGCTCCTCCCGCCTGTGGTCCCAGCGCTGGGGCCTCGGGGTTCAGGGGCAGCAGCACCTGCTGACCCGCCTGCGGGAATGAAGGGCCAGCGGAGCCCAGTCATCGGCTCTGGGGACTCGGGGCGCGGGCTGCGGGGGGACCAGCCAGCCCGCTGCGGCGGGCGCTTTCTCAGGAGACATTCCTGAGGCCTGTCTAGACGGCCACCAGCACAGCCGGCGAAACGGCTGACTCTCCCCGTCGGGGGTGCACTGGGGGTCCCCCAGGTTTTGCAGTCTGTGTTATCCACGCGGGAGCTGAGATGATTCGGGGGTGCATCTGGGGAGGCTGACCTCGGGCATGGGGAGCAGGACTGGCCGACCCTGAGCCCGGCAGGTGCTCCAGGCTGGCCCTCCAGCCTCGCCCCCGGGCCAGGTGCTTGGCTGCTGTGGATGGAGGTGAGGAGAGCTGCCTCGTGCGGCCCCGGGATTGGGCGGGGCTGTGAGAGACCAGCACCTGCCAACAGCAGCTCAGGGGCCGCAGGTCAGAATCCCTCACACAGGGACCGCCCCCTACGTGCCCGTCACGGCTGAGTTCACCCTGAGCACGGCCGGTCGCATGTGGCTGGTGGAGAGCAAGGCTGGAGGGTGTGCGTGCCGGCCCCACAGCCGCGTGTTCTAGCCGTTCCTCACCCTCAGACACGCGTGAACCTCACAGACCGTCCCCTGCCTTCCTCTCCCTCTGTGTCTCTCTCTGCCTCCCTCCCTGTCTCCTCTCTCTCTCTCTCTCTCTCTCTCTCTCTCCCTCCCTGTGCCCCCCCTGCCCCGTCTCTCTCTAATCGCAGCCCATGCATACGCATGCTGCACATCACACGCTGTAATGACCACCTGCTTCTTTTGTGGGAGCACGGAGAGTTCAGACGACAGAAACGCTTCCTCACGAGCATTTGTTGATGTTGAGGGGAAAGAGGCCATGGATTCCACGTGGCACACGTCTCCCCAGGAGACTGCTTGTGGGCGTCTGCGTGGCCGGGGTGGCCATCGAGGACTGAGCATTGCGCACCGGGGTTCCCTGGGGACGGCCCAGTGTGACCTGTGCCCCAGCCCACCTGGCTCTGCTCCCAGCTCACAACCCCAGCCCTCCTCGGCCTCCGTGCACAGCCCCAGCCCTCCTCGGCCGTCCCGTGCACGCCCCGTGCTGTCGCAGGCGGAGGGAGGAGGGGCTGTCCTGCAGCCTCCGTTCCTCTCCCCAGGTGAAGTGCTACCACAAGAAGTACCGCTCGGCCACCCGTGACGTCATCTTCCGCCTGCAGTTCCACACGGGCGCCGTGCAGGGCTGCAGCCTGGTGTTCGGGAAGCAGGACCTGGACAGCGCCTGCCAAGGTGAGGCCCCGCGGATGGAGGCGGACAGTGTGGAGGAGCTGCAGGTGCCTGTGGGATTCTCTCTTCTCCCTGCCCCTCCCCTAACGACCCAATGGACCAAACTGTGACCAATGCCAGGAAGGACTGACAGCTGACAGCACAGAAGGCGTTCTAGAGAAACAGCGAGCCGCCGATGTGTCCATGCCGGGCACTGGGGTGGCTCTGGGCTGTGTGTCCTGGCCGGGTGGTGGGGACACCGGCCTCCGTGCCCCGTCCCTCACCCCCGCGTGCCGCTGATGTCGCTCTCTATTGCAGACGACCGCTTTCCTGCCAGCGGGAAGATCGAGCTCGTGTTCTCGGCCTCCCCCGAGAGGATCCAAGGTGGGTGCAGGGCGGGGGCTGGTGTGGGGTCTCTGGATGTCGCCCACCTTTGCCCATGTTTGGGAATTTTCATGATATAGGTTTTTTTTATTTGTTGTGGGGTTTTTTTTTAAATTCTGACCCGAGGATATTTTTCCCATTGAGTTTTAGAGAGAGTGAAGGGAGGGGGAGACACAGAGAGAGAAACATCGATGTGAGGGACACACATCGATCAGTTGCCTCTGATCGGCCCGGGAACCAGCCTGCAACCCAGGTGCGTGCCCTTGATCGGAATCGAACCTGCGACCCTTCAGTCCCTGGCTGACGCTGTACCCACTGAGCCACACCGTGCAGGCTCCTGATACAGGTCTTCACCGTAGGCTCTTAGCGGCGATGACGGGCCACATCCTGTCCCCTGAGTTCTGTCCCTCCTCCTGGGGGCGGTGACGCCAAATGTTTACTCTTCTCCTTACCGAACAGCCGATGTTTGTAAGGAAGATGACACGTTCTGCAGTCGCAAACACTTGTGTTTAAAGTAGATTCTCCTTCTTCTGAAAATGCACTGGAAGAGCCACCAGCCCTTCATCCTCGGCTGATGGCTCTTCCACCCTGAGATCCCCGCGTGTGGCCTCTCAGCCCCGCGTGCACTCGCTGTGTGAGCCGGTCGCCCTCCTGGCTCAGCCCCCGACAGCGGGAGCTTCTGAGCCCGGCCGCACGCGTGGGCTGAGGGCCGCGCCCGCCTTTCCTTCCTGCAGAGCCGTTGCGGTGATGTGTCCGGGCCCGTGGGTGCTCGCGTGGCGATGCCAGGCCTGGAGGGCAGGGCTGACCCGGTGCCCAGCCCCAGAGCCGCCGGCTCGGCTGACTGATCCGTGTCCCCGCCCCCTGCAGGCTGTGAGCATTTCCGCAGCAACCATGGCGTGAGCGTGGACTTCAACACGGCTGACCCGCTGATCCGCTGGGACTCGTACGAGAACCTGGGAGCTGACGGGGAAGGTGCGTCTGGGGGTCTGGCATCGTTGCCACACGTTGGGTCAGAACGGTCCCCGAGGGGCCGGGAGGCTGGGCACCCCACCTTCTGTGTAGAGGGCAGCACCCCGCCCTTGGGGGCTTGGGGTGCTTGCGAGATTGGGCTTGGCGACTTGGGTCAGGCTCTTGGTGGGCTGTGATGGGCGGGGGGCAGTCGGTAAGACGACCACCTGGGAGCTTCCCTGTGGACGGTGTAGCCGCCTGTCGCAGGGACCGCTCCCCTCCCCATCCCTTCCCGTCGCACACGAGGCGTCAGGGCCGGGGCGGCGGCTGGGGCAGCAGGCCTTCCGGTTTGTTTCTGTGTCACTGGCGGCCTGGGCTCGGGGCTGCGTCATGTCTGTGTTCATGAGTCCTCTTCCCACACCTGCTCTCCGTTCCCCTCGGATGTGCACTCTGGTTGGGGGCTGCCGTGAGGAGGGAAGGGTTTACGGGAGAGGCCACCGGAGGCGACTGATGTCAGGGCACAGAGTTTCCTGGGCTCCTGAGAACTCGGTGGTTCATCTCTTTCAACCACCGACTGAGAACCAGGCCCTGGTGACGGGCAGGCCCTGGCCTCTCCCTGCAGGTGCACTTCCTCCCAAGAGGCGGGTCCAGGCCTCCCTGCAGGTGCACTTCCTCCCAAGAGGCGGGTCCAGGCCTCCCTGCAGGTGCACTTCCTCCTGTGGGGCTCAGACATCCTGGCAGGAAAGAGCGCCGCCTTTAAATACGTGATACCTGGAATCAGGAGCCGAGAGAGAAGGGCCCCCACGCAGCCCCTCCCCCTGTCGTGGGTGCAGGTTCTCTCACCTCCCTCTTGTCTCAGCGCAGGTCTGGGCCTCCCTCCAAAGGTGTGCAGAGCGAGCAGACCCAGGGCCCGGGGAGGGAAAGCTGCCCGTTATGGGGGGGCGGGGGGGATTGTGAGGGGAACTCGGCTTCGGGGTGACAGCCCCCGCCATGGGACCTCGCAGGGCCCAGGAGAGGGAGGCGGAGGCCGCGTCCTGGCTGGTGTTCGGAGGAGGCAGCGGTTGCAGAAGCTGCCCAGGACCCGCGCTTGGCACTGCCTGGCAGGGCGGGGGAGGCCTGGTGCCTGGCCCTGCCTTGAGGAGCTTTTCTCCGCCTCCTCCGCCTCCAGGGTTCAAATTTCACCAACCCTGAGTGCTCTGAGCCCCACCTCCTGTTTACATTGCCTGCTCAGCCAACAGGCTCCTCCACCTTCTGTGCTCATGCTCGCGGGGGAGGGAGGCGGTGCTGGGGGGGGGGGGTGAGGAGGCCGGCCCTTGGGAGGCACGCCCCCCAGGATGCTGCTCCTCTGGGCTGGAGCTTTCTTCCCGGAAAAGGAAAAGCAGGTCCCACATAGACTGAAGGGGCTGCTGGGCGGAGTGGAAGGTAGGCAGGCGTGTGCCTGTGTGTGCGTGTGTGTGTGTGTGTGCATGTGTGCATGCATGTATGTGTGTGGGTGTGGGTGGGTGGCTTCTGCAAAACCCCTGGCACCGGGACAGCCATTCTGCCTGGGGCTGCACAGCAGACAGAGCGTCCGAGGCAGGAGATGGTGGCGGTGGCGCGAAGAAGCCTG